AGTTGAAGACTGTGCAGCGATTATCGCATGTTCAACGCACAAACTAAGGCTGATCGTTATCCAATACCGTTCATTCACGATGTGATGTATAAAAAGCGATTCATCAGATACCGCTTGCGCCAGCAGATATCCCAAAGACAGCAATTACAACTCCATTTGGCCTATATGAGTTCCGGGTTATAACTTTCGGTTTTCGTAATACGGCTCAGATATTTTAGCGTTTTACAAATGAGTCACTGGGTGATCTTGATTTCGTGTTTGCGTACATCGATATATTCTCATTGCGTCGAAAAATAAAGGTGAACGTGGAATGCATTAGCGAATGGTTTTGAATAAACTTAGACAGGCAGGTTTGAGAGTGAATTTTGCCAAATATGAGTTCTGCTGTTCGAAAATCGTGTTCCTTGGGAACGTTATTAGTGCGAAAGGTTTGCATCCTCCGGAGAGTAAACTTCAAGCTGTTCGTGGTTTTTCTCTGCCGTCGACAGTAAAGCACCTTAGACAAGTTTTAGGCATGAACTTTTATTAGCTGTTTCTGCGTATGGTTGTGTAGAATCAGCAGCGGTTGTTTCATTCATTTTTTGTTGGTCTGCTGAAGATATAGTAATTTTTGAGGCTTGCAAGAATGATATTGCTCAAGCTACATTGCTTAACTTCATGGCCGTCGATGCACAACTGACACTCACGACGGATGCTTTAGACGTTGCGGTGGGTGCAATGGTGGTAAAAGGAGTGACTCGGCCGTTGGTATTTTACTCCAAAGGTTTAAGTCCAACGTAGACTAAGTATAGTGATTATGATCGTAAGTAAACCGTCATCTATCAAGTTGTTCTGCATTTTCACCCTCAAGCGAATGGTATGGTCGAGCGTTTCCATAGAACATTAAAATCAGCCATCCGGTGTCATTCCTCCAACAGTTGGATGCAATCCCTTCTAATGCTAGTCCTTCTGAGATGATATTTGGTAATCCAGTTTGTGTACCGGGACAGATGCTTTCGGGCTTTAAACAGATAGCGTCGAAAACTGATTTCGTTCCGTCGCTGAGAAGGGCTTTGGCGATGATAAAATCTGTTTGGGATTAGTAGACACTGTCAGCCATCTGTTTACGTTCCGCGTTATGTTATGAGTTGTAAGCACGTTTTTCTTGGAGTAGATCGCGAGAGCTCTACTTGAGTAGCCATATGAGAATCCTTTTCAGGTGGCGAGAAAACGTCGGTCATTGTTTGTCACGGAAGAAAGTTTACATTTTCGAATAACAGGTTAAAGGTAAGTTGTCGAAATTTCGGGAATGATGATTAACGGTAGTGATTCTCATGTTGTGTTGCAATGTTGTTAGTACTCCACTGTTATGAGTGGGTACTCTAGCGGTTCAAGTAGGCGTTGGAAATTTATTGAAATTGAACTTGCAAATTCAATTTAATAAATATCAGTTTTTTAATTTTTGTGAGAAAGAACGTTTCCGATTTCGTTCAAAGTAAAATGAAATAAAATTTGCTTTCGATTGTTAAAAATTCGTTTTCTTGCTTGTTAACGAAGTGAGAAGTCCATTGTTAACATATGATGCAAATATGATTATTTTTTACGTTTTATTTTAAAATGTGAATGATAAGATTTATAAATTGATTTTTTGTTTTTAATAAAAATGTGACAATAGAGAAAAAATATATAACTTTTAATTTCATTAATTTCATTAATTTAATTATTTTATTTATTTAGTAATTTTAGCGTTTATTTTATTTCCAAACGTTACAAAAGAATCATTTAAAAACTGCAGACGAATGTGCTGGAAGATGATTTTAGGTAAGTGTTTATAACTAGTCATTTTTATATAATTTAAATATACTTCTTTTCTTTGAAGTTAATTCGCCAATAATATATTAAGGGAGTACTGCGCATTTTAAATGTTTATGATATGATTCATATTTAGTGTTAAGTGAACTGTGTTAAAAATATGCCTTACGAAATTATGTCTGAATCGGCTCTTTGGACTTTTAAATATTTTGTAAAACCTATTTTGATCTATGGTTATGTTGCTATCGTAACACTTTTGTTGTAGTAGAACAACCCAAGTTTTATGATTGGGTTGTTCCTGTCTACTTTGAATGCTGTTTGATTTCTAAACTATTCCACTATTCTCGTTTAATTGACCCGGGGGTTGTTTTCTTTTTTATTCGTTTTAGGTGATCTAATGTTCCCTTCTTGTGATAGTGGTAATTGCTCTTAGAAAATGACGTGCTTTATCGGATTTAGTGTTTCTTGAATGATTTGAGTTTCTGCTAGTATTTGGCTTTAAGGTATAAAAGGTAATGAGGTCCCAGCCAATGCAGTCAACGGTGTTGTCGGTTGCTCTTGACGTAATTGTGTCTAAAGTTTTGAGTTCCGTTGCCATTATACATTTTGCATTTTTGATTGTATAATTTGTCAATCTTGCATAATGGATGCAATAATGTCTCGGTGTCGATCAAATACTTGGGGTTTTCTTTGACAGATACAACGCGTGCTATTATTGCTACTGTGATACAAACGATATATAGGAACTTGGTCACTAATATATTTCAGAAGTTTGCTGCATAGTTTGCTGTTACTCTAAGTAATTTGACTTCACGACCTTTGTGTTATTATACTTGGCTCGAGCTATGCTGTAGAGGCTGACGTTGGAGCTATGGTTATGATTAACATTGTTTCTTTCATGGTTTTTTCAATGGGATCATATAAAAGTATTTCACTACTAAGTGCCTGCTTTTATCAAAGTTGTAAACTATGCAATCAAATTTTTTTTCAAAGCTAGTACAGTAGAATCGCGGAAAAGTTAACTCTCGAAAAAGTTAATCTCGCGGAAAAGTTAACAGCATTTCGGCGTCCACGTAGCGTTCTAAAAAGTTAACTTCGAAGTTAACTTTTCCGAGCGTATGAATTTTTTTTTTGAAATCAACCGTTTCTTTGCCGACACAAGCCAGTGCGAGCTCTAGTTTTGATTATGGGTATTCCCCGAATATTCTATTTTCTTTCTGTTTTGTTTTGTGCTCCAAACATATGTTTTCATTCTTGTCGCAAATTACCTTGATTGAATTGTTCGGTAGCGTTTGAGTTGATTAGTTGTGAATTTTTTATTAAAAAAATGTCAAAAATACAGAAAAAACGGCAAATCAGATTAAATTTGCAACAAAAAGTAGATATATTAAGAAAACTTGATGACGGTATTGCGGGAAATCGAATAGCGCTGCATTATGGTGTGTCTAAAGTAGCCATCAGTAAAATAAACAAAAAACGCCAAGAAATTTTAAAAACAGTGGCGGCCACTTATGAAAGTGCAGAGAAGAAAACACTCCATAAGTCGGAATATCCTGATCTGGAGGTAAACTTGTACAATTGGTTCCTGAATCAACGGCAGCGTAATTGTACAGTGACTGGTGCCATCTTAAAATCAAGAGCTAAACTCGAATTTGAAATTCTGTATCCGGGAAAAAAATTTAGTGCAAGTGATGGATGGCTGGCAAATTTTAAAAAACGGCACGGTATTCGCCTTCTCAAAATTTGTGGAGAAATTCTTTCGAGCGATACACCGAAAATAACTCCGTTTGTACATAGTCTACGAGCAAAAATCAATGAAATGGGCATCTCCGACTCCCAACTATATAACGCAGATGAATCTGGACTATTTTATCGTTTATTACCGGACAAAACATTTGTCGCAGCAAACGAACATGCCGCACCGGGAAGAAAAACTGTTAAGGAAAGAATTACATTTTTGTTGTGTGCAAACGCAGATGGTTCGCACAAGTTGAAGCCGTTGGTGGTCGGTAAATCTGCAAAACCACGTTGCTTTAAGGAATTTAACAATCCATTGGAATACGCTCATACAAGCAAGTCGTGGATGAATGCACAGTTATTCTTCAACTGGTTCCACAATTCATTTATAAAACAGGTAAACTTATTTTTTGGTTTCATTTTTCATTTCTAATGAACATGACATAAAAATTTTTGAAGGTTCGCAAATTTTCTGTTGAAAATAATTTACCACCAAAGGCATTGTTGCTAATAGACAACTGCACGGCACATAAGCCAATTGACAGGCTGAAGTCTGACGATGGAAACATTGTAGCCATGCATCTACCACCGAACGTAACAGCGGCTTTGCAGCCAATGGATCAAAATCCCATAAGATTGGTTAAATTAGGATATCGCTCCAAATTGTTATGCAACATTGCCGCGCAAGAAAACGTTCTGGTGGAAAATATTTTGAAGGCACATTCAATTTGTGACGCCATATCGCTACTTAATTCAGCATGGGAAGAATTGCCGCAATCAATTCTTATAAAAGCGTGGAATAAGATAAAAAAGTGGGATGATGATCAATACAATAGTGAAGATGATCTTCCGTTGTCCAAATTTATTAAAGCAAACGATGTTTACGACGATACAGTTCGAGAAGTTCAATCGTTAATGTTGAAAGTGGGAAATAATCTTAACATCAGCATTGACGATATAGAAAATTGGAACAAGGATGAAATTACGGAAGATATGGAACATTTCGAAGTGTGTGATAGTGACAATGATGATTCAATTACCGAGGAAGATATTCAACAACCGAAAGTGAGTTTCTCGAAAGCAGTTGAAAGCATCAATACCTTGATAAAATGGTCCAAAGACAACAACGATGCAAATCAGGTGGCAGACCTTATCAGTATGCGCACAAAAATGGTCAAGAATTATTACACCAAAGAAAAAAAACAAACAACTCTCGACTGCTTTTTTAAACCAACTGGTACAAATTAACAATTTTCCTTTTGTAATGGCTAAAACATAAACAAAAAAAAAAGGAGCTATTTCTAAGCAAATCTATGCTTATTATTGTAGTTTTTTCTTTTTTTTATGAATTTTGAAAACCGCTTGGAAAAGTTAACAATCTCAAAAAAGTTAACAACCCCAAAACGGAGCGGTTAACTTTTCCGCGATTCTACTGTACATTAAGACTGAAAAGTTTTCGGAAATTCTCATTTAAAATTCGCGCGCTGTATATTTTTATAGTTTTAAGTTTAGTAGTTTGGCAGCACTGTCCTTAATTACTATGCAAAAAATGAGCGCGATCTGTCAGACAGTTCGTTTACGGCAGCTGTTGAAACCAGTTCACCTCAGTAGTGCGTTGCGAAATGTCTTCGACGGTCGTACGACCGTACTGAAAGGCTTTGTACCACTCATAAACTTGAGTTTTCGATAAAACTGATTCCCCATAAGCCTTTTGTAGCATTCGCAACGATTCTGCACACGAAATTTCGTTCGAAACACAAAATTTGATGCAAACTCTTTGTTCAATATTTTTTTCCATTGTTTTTTTCGCAACGCCCTACTGAGGTGAACTGGTTTCAACAGCTGCCGTAAACGAACTGTCTGACAGATCGCGCTCATTTTTGGCATAGTAATTAAGGACAGTGCTGCCAAACTACATAAACTTAAAATATCGGAAAATATACAGCGCGCGAATTTTAAATGAGAATTTCCGAAAGCTTTTCGGTCTCGGTCTTAATGTATATTGAATTTTCTTTAAAACACCTGTCAGTTGATATATAGATAAAAGCTTTTACTTTAGATGCTCTCATACATTGAATCGTAAGTGGATTTGTTAGTTATCAATTGGCAGTCATGTGAACACCTATGATGTTGGAAGCTATCCAATGGAATCACTAAAATATTTCTCACGTTCAAACGCACAAATTGTCACTTAAGGTTAGAGAGCCAACATTAATCTACATAAAATATGCAATGGAACTAGATTAACTGTTTCGCCAAGCGAAAAATGCAGTATTTTTTATGTTGTTAACGGTTTGTGTGAAACCAAATAAAAAACTTTTAATTGGTTTTTAACTAATTCTTTAATAATATACCACAAGTTTCCACATAATATTTGCATAGATATACAAATAGAAAAAAATCTTTACTATTACCATCCTTTCCTATTCAAAATAGATTTCTTGTCAAAGGACATAAAATTCTTACTGATTATCACTTCAGAACTTTTACGATTTGTTTACTTGCAATTATAAGGCTCTTCCGAACATATAA